GTCGAGTAACTAGACATGGGCCTGCATGAAGACCACACCAATTAAGGCAATATGTACAGGGATCTAACCCCAGTCATTTTGACAATTTTACCTTTGCCATCTATAAGACACTGTAGGGTCGAAGCCCTACACATTATTCAACTTTGATAGTGGAGGGGAAACCATCCGAAGAAATTCCGGGGCGTACCCAACACCCAATACAGAGATGGTGGATTGGATCAAGTCGACCTCGACAGTTGAGTGAGTGAGTGTTTATTGTCCTAAATAGTCTATAAATATGTATGGACATGTAGGTCCTTTCTGCCTACAGGCCGGGAGTATCTATGCCTCGGGTAGTATACTCCCTCCCATGCCTCCTTCACCACTTCTTTACAGCAGTAATACCCCCACAGGTCTTCATTCGAGTACAAACTAAGAGGAGCCGTTATTTCGTCATCAATTCTCCTCTCCAGCCAACGAAACCATAGCCATTTGTGGGTGTGTAGCTGCAGGGAAAAGTCTCAAAAACCACTGGCTGCGGTGCTCTCCTATGACGAAGAAGCCGGCCAGCTGGGCGCAGCAGACCTGTGTATAAAGAAGAGCGTCTCTCAACCTTCCTAGCCTCCTCCTTATCCCCCCCTTATTCGTGCCGCAGGACAAATCGTAGTTCGTGAAAGGATGTCAGAAAAGTCTTGGTCGAGAGTGACAGTCGTGAAGGAGCCTAGCCTAGCATCCAAAAGTCGTTACGGACGTGGGGTCGTCGAGTAACTCATGTATTTCAGATGTCCTCCTGACTTGTAGATTCGGAAGTACGGATTAGTAGGGTCGATATTATAGACGAGTCAAAATCTGCTTTTCTTGAGGACGGAAGGGTCTTTTACTTTGTTTTCGTGGGCTATTTGTTCGCCCGCCGGTGGGAACCACATGTTGTGATATAACGAGGGCTTCTCTGATAACCGTTGTAGCGTTTGGTACCGCATTATCTCTCCTCATTCCCAGCATCATTATCGTCGTCTTCGTCGTTTTACTAGTTATCGGAAGCGTCTCTTTGACGAAGCAGGTGATATCTCAGCTCAAAGTTGAAAAAGTCTTGCTCAATCTCGGCTCTGCAGACTCTACAGTGAGAGTTGGAGGTTTGTAGGGAACACCATTGACAGGTGTTGAGAATAGTCCCCCGACCTCGACTATTATAAAGGAGGGAAATATAGACGAATATGCGTACCTCATGTGGTTCCGGTGTCTAGGCTTCACCTGGCTGGGGCTGCAGGTTTTTTGAGACTTTTTCCCGCGCACGCAGTTTCCATTGCTACTATTTTTTTTTGAGTATAAGGTTCCGTGGAAAAGGTGGCCGAATTCCACAGGTAAAGACTGAGCTGAATGGCTATTCATCAAGGGGAATATATCAATGATCTTTCAAGTAACAAAAGGTGATGAGGGCACTGTACAAGATTTGGCCTGGGTCAGAGAAGAGCCCAATGTGGTAGATAGTCATAGACTCAAGTAGCACAATAAACAAACACATAAGCCCACAATTTTTTGAAATTCGAATTTTCGAATCTTCACCTGTTCCCCCTCTCCCTCCCTTTCGTGCTCGTCCCAGCTCTGCCCGTCAAAAGCACCTGGGCCACGGTGGCCAGAAACGGACTGCGACAGAAAGCAGTCCCAACTGTAAAGGCTGTGCCGCGACCTGCGGCCAAAGCCCTAAATAAAGAAGCTCCCAAGGCGAAAGTCGACAAACGACCGTTCCTTCGCCTGGAAAAGGAGCACCATTGGCGCCAGCTTTCGACTCTCGGAATAAGGCAACAACTACAGATCAGGCTAGAGTGCACCTTGAGTGAAGCCTGCTCTATACACCGTGTCAGAACCGGCTTTGCTATTGTTAGTCACTGAGGGTCAAATGAAAAACGTAAATTAAACTTGTATTGATGAAATCTCTGCTCCTCAACTCCTCTCCAGCAATGATGCTATATACCCATCTGAAACTATATTGAGGAGAGATTATCTTATCCTCATTTCCCAAAATTACATATGAGATATATTACATGAGTTGAAGATCAAAAGATCTCAAGTCAGAGCTTTGACTATCCTGAACATCCTGAACATCCTGATCACCATATCCCTGGTGAGATATCAAAGCTCGAGTTAGTTAATCCGACAAGATCTATCATCCCACTATAAAATGGTTCTAATTACCATATTCAGTAGGTTCCAAACCATCAGATGTTTGACAGCTTTTCTGACAGGGAATGAGGAAATAAGGGAAGAGCTCCTAGAGGCTACACCGAAGTTGGCGGAATTCAACGCCAAGTTCAAGGCAGCCTCCAGCCTTGTCACCTTTCGGATCGCGAATGTTCCAGTGACTATGAGAACGGTCGGCGGTATCTATACGATCGATGCTGAAAGGATCATATATGAGATATACAGGAAAACGCAGCAGTTTCCAACCCAGGTGTTACCGCACGGAACATGCCGTCCTGGAGCGCCGTACAGAAGTTGGAAAGCCCTGCTCGTCCGGGACTCCGCCCCTCGCGCGGGCTTCCATATTCTCGGCGAGTCTGGAGTGGTGACCATTCTAAAGCCTCGTAGCCAAATTAAACAGTGCAAACGCTGTTTGGGCTTCCACGTCACCCGTGGTTGCTCCCGTGTTCCAGCGTGCTGGAATTGCGAATCAAATATGCACTCGGAAGACGAGTGCAAGGCCCTCACCAAGTGTCGCAACTGTGGGGGACCGGTGTCAAAAGAGCAGCTCGAGTGGATCCGTCACATTCAGCAAGGGGAGTTCGTGAAGTTGGCACGAGCTCGGGCAGCAGCTTAAAAAGCCGAAGAGGCGATCATCGCCGTGGCGAAGGATGTCTCCATGGCCGAGACAACAGGTTTCGGAGTGTTGGAATCTGAAAAAGAAGCTTGAGGACACTGCAACCTCGACGTTGTCCCGGAAGAGACATCTACTAACCAATAGCAGGATACCGGCTGGATCGAAGGTGCCTGCTAACTCGTCTCTTGCTATCAGTGGGAATTAGGTAAATTTGTTATTTGGAAGATGTGACGGACGACGGAATGTGTGAGGAGCACATTACTTGGGTCCAATGTGGAGGAATCTTCTGGTTTTCGGAGTTATTTTGATTTTTGTGATTTTGCGTTTCGGTTTAATCAGCCGCACTTTTGGCAGAGATTCACAAGGTTGGAACGAGTTGGGCTGTAGGAAAGATTACAGGGAACCCTGCTGGCTCCACCGGTCCTTGACCCAATGTGGATAAGATAGCGTTAGCTTAGGACCAAAAATAATAAAACAAAAACAAACAATAAACCAAGATCTGTTTGGGGTATGTATTCAAACAAAAAGCATCCCTCAAACTCCTTAAATAATAACAATGGAGCATTTTTCGGTAAATCCTTTGCCTACGACCTACCTCTACACTGTTGTGAGGTTAAAGATCGAGAGTGATCTCGGGCTTTTAAATGGGAAGGAAGAGTGGTATTTGAGCACTGGTGCGGACGAATGCAACTTTAGACGTAAAGCTATGGAGTCGACGAGAGGAGCGTTGAATATAGCCTTCAGAGACCTTCAACTGATACAATAAATCCGGTATTATCTGGAGGTCGGAAATACCAGATTTGTATACAGAAATTAATCCTCGTGGGATGATCTTGGAGCTCATTCAGAACAAGGCCCTAGTCCCGACATGGCAGCATGATCAAGAAGTGAGTATGTCTTGATTACCAGTAGACCATCAAGCTAGCTGAGTATTAAATATAATCATGCAAACGAATAAACTTCTAACATGTCCTGTAATGAGCACCAAGAGTTAGTAACATTACTGAAAATAGAGGCGACGCTGTATTACATATTACGAATATTGGAACGAAACCGAGATAGTTCATGACCAGTGTAACGGGTGCAGGACTGATAAAATTACAACAGCTGGTAGAGCGGAAATAAACACCCAACGACGGGAATTCGTTGGATTCTGGGCTCTCCTGAAGGAGCCATAGCTTTTATTAACCGGCTTCATGATGCCTGCTTTCTCACAGAAATATAACGACGTCACAAGCCAGAACTCTAGCCCCTCAAACTTGAACTTAAATTGGCTATGGCTCAGATTGAAAGAATATTAGACTAGGTGATGGATAGCTTTCCTATTAATTAGATAATTATCTATTTGCTGCTATGCAAAACAAAAGTCTTAGTGGGGGACTACTTTTGACTTCTTTCGATAGATTGGGGTGCATGGCAGGTAGGCCTTGGCCCAATTATAACATGTCGGGCTCATTCAAAAGCATCGGCACGCCGGGTAGTTTGTGTAGACTGAGCTGGCCAACATGAGATCTTATTATTTCTTTTGTCAGGTACAAAGTACCCCCCTGGTGAACCAATAATGGACATCCCACCATCAAATGAAAGAAACCCCAATTAGAATGGAAAAGATAAGTTGTATTTAAATAGTCTGTCCTATATAGTTATAAACTCAAATAGGACATAAATGGATCATAAAAAAAAACATGAGATCTTACGGTTGTGTTATGAGCTAGCACGATATTAAATAAAAATAAATAATTAAACAGCTGGTAGAGCCGAGGAATAATCTTATAGGTACAAAAAGTTCTGCACCGCGTGGCTGCTCTGACCATCTGACTGCTTTTGAAGGTTAAAATGTCTCCGGACACAATCCTAATTTCAGTGTATAGGGAGCCCTGCACCCTGGCTTCCCCAGTCTTTTCGCCAGCCATCCACTCAAACTGGTCTACGTTTCGCATGATGGAAAGATAAATTACAAACGGCAAAGGTCTCTATCTAGTGTGTGGTTGAAAGAAAACTTACATTAGATAAAGGTGAATGGGAGTGATTTGTGGGAGTCTTAGAGAAGAATTGCTACTCAGATCAAAGATTTCTCTGGTCCGACTTCAGGTGGTGGTATCCATAGTCTTTTAGAGTCACTGAGTAGAAAACGAAGGCTATAAGAAAGCTATCAAAATATCCACTTCAATTTCAACTTCGATAAACATAGCGAATATTTGAGGAAATGCTAATCATAATCCTTGGCAATAACATCCTTCAGCCGGCAACACTGGGAAGGCGGAACAAATTAGAGGCTCAGTTCACTCGGGAGCTGATGGACAGGTTCAGTCGAATCCTTTGCCCAGGCAAAGATGAAAACCAGATCTATATCTTTCTGTGATGTTAATCAAGGCTTGAGCAATGTCTTATCGCGTTCCACCCACCTTTTTTAAACTAAAAATGAAAACATCGGTCGCATTGTACTTAGCTCTAATGACGCTTCAAATCAGCAAAATAGGCGCAACAATTGCTGAAAATGATTACATTTGTGGAACAGATGTCCTAATCGAGAAGAATATTAATAATTCACTTCAGAAAGCCTGTAATACCCTCTATCAAACCAGGAAGGCGGTTAGATATCCAGCAGATTACGATGCGTCAGACACCTTTTACATTTCTGACGCAAGACTTTTCTCCTGGCCTATGTTGAAAGACGATAGATTATTTACTACAGGTGTATATATAGTTTTCCAAAATTTTTGGAGGAGAGGCTCAGCTAGTGAGAGGATATTTCTGACGAGCTCCTAGGTCGTGCTGGGAATCTTCGTTTGATCATGGACTCTGATTGCCGGTTTATCGGAATAATCATGAAAACCATAAATGAACCTGATAAGCGCTGCTTTCGGCCCGTGGCACCACCACGCGAAATTGACGATTCTTCCAATCCTTCACTTAGAAAGATACCAGTGTTACGTGGCTACAATTGTGAGGGTAAAGTTTTTGAAAGTTTCCAGGTAGAACAAGTTCGCAAAGAGACTCTCCGATTATTTAACTTTTGGATTTCTAAACATCTACAAACTAGTCTCAATAGACTAAAAGTTTTTGAAGAGTTTTTTGGGTCGATCGTATTCTTATTGCCTACAAAATCCCCCAGTTCCCCAAAACAACTTAGAGGTACGTGATAATATCACCGAATTATGCGCAGAGATGCCTAACAATGAGCCAGAAATAGTAGATTATTCGTACTACATCGCAATAGATTTTAAGTATGAAACATTAGGCATGGTCTACAAGACCAAAGACAACTGGGTCAAATATGATGGATTATGGGAAATGGAACCAGAGCGCCGTCAGATTAACGATCCCCAAAAAAATTCTATCGGAGAAGCGATTTTCGAAGGTCTGAGTGCCTACAAATGTGACTCATTCAAGTTTTCGCGCGAAACGATCAATAGTCATATGCAGGTAGCTTGCGGAATTTTACAAAAAGTACAGAAATCTCCCGCACGTGTCAAGCGTGGTCGCGTATGTCCGGCGGTAGTAGAAACTGATACAGGAAGTCTCACGGCTTGGAAATTTCCTCTGCAACTACCAGAAAAAGATTTAATTACGGGTAGTAAGTTTATTTTTTGATTTCGGTAAACGATTGAGCTGATAATATGCGTGAAGATAAATTTTTGACCCATGATTGCGTGATCATACTGGATAAGCAGTGTCATTTTCATGGGGTTTACCGGTACTCTAAAAAAATGTCAGTGAAATGCAACCGGTCATCGCCTCAAGATCTTCAGAAAACACACCATCATGAAGCCACAGTATCGGACTCGTCCTGGATTGATGAAATGATCGATGATGGGTCCTGGGATCTCAATTGAAAGAAACAGATAAAAAATAAAGATTTCTAACACATACAAGGGTCTATTCCAGAAGACTAGAGGCATGAAAAATGTTTAAAAGTATTCACTGCCTAGTTATCGATAGCTACTCACTTCCGAAATACGACCACTAATGGTTCATACGACTTCGGTAGGTAACGAAGTCAAGCACCCAGGCTAGACAAACTGATAAAACCGATGACTACATGTATCAAAGTTGTATAGGGATTTGACGACATTCAGATAGATATCGATATTGCGAAATTAAAATAAAATCTATTTCCTTTCACAGTACTAGTCCTACTGTCCAATCAACACCATCCAAGGCAGTCGCCGAGAACACTCAATCAGTCACCTTTTCTAGCATACAAAAGTACTGGCGACATGGCGATTCAAAGGTGGAAGATGGAGTGTACTAGCACTGAAATTACTACTCGTATCAAGAGGATGGCAGTTGTTCAGAGAGTACGTTCAATAAAGCGGAATCTGCGCGGTAGCTAGTCGAGGGATGTCGGGAATCCCTGAGACTGGGAGATCATATATCTATAGCCTAGATTATTTGGCATAGAAAGAGAGATTCGAATTGAGGCTCTGGCGCCTGGTAGCTGAGGCAAAAATTTGGAAGAGAGATTGTTTGAGATATTATCCTTTTGTAATGCGGGCTTTTTCGTGGAAGTTCTCTTGTATTTTTATTCTGGGCTGCTTGACTCGTCATGATTCGATATATTGATACTTTTCGGCATGGTTCCGGTAATCTAGGTGGGACGAGGTATACTTTCACTTCACAATAGTTAACCTGATTCGGCTAAGGTCTACTCATCCTCAAGCTCCAGTCGGGGTACGAAGGGTATCATGTTATCTAGCACGATAATTGACAAACAAACAACTAAACACTCGAATTTGATGACGTCAATCGGCTTTAAACTGACACAAATGTGTTCAAAGCTAGAAGGCTTCGTGCTAAAACTCTCAAAAATATTTTCAAGTGAGGAATTCATCCAAGTGAAGTCTACAAAGCTTCTCCACAAGGAGACGATTGATTCTGAGCCAGTCAGATAAGTAAAAAATGGTGCCGAGGTTACCCAACCCGCCAAGCTTGCCACAGAGATAAGAAGCTCTAGAAAAGAAACGGAGGTTGTTGAAAAGATGACAAAAACTGGAGAATGATCGACACGATATCTCGCTGTGCCAGCCTCAAGCAGCCCAGCTCTGCCAGCAGCGATGTGATTTCTGCCAGAGTTGCACACAATGATGGGGGCCGAAAAGCGTCGCACGGCGCAAATTAAGTCTTGCCTCACAATTTGCTCCACTGTTTCTAGCCCGTCGAAGTGGAACTTTAACCCCTTTAGACAGGTTAAAATAAAGAATTTGCAGACAAAATCAAAGTCTACCTTTGAGCAGTTACTTAGCAGCTCAAACAATCCAGCCTAGGGACGGAAAGATCAGTTCTCCCTGCTCGCCCCAGCAACCCTCTTCCGTCGAGGGCTATAGGTGTAAGGGTTCCAACTTTCGACAACCCAGGCTTCAGCCCTAATGACCACTTGAGCTACAGTAGCTCGAGCTGGCCTTGGTCGCAGCGTCGGGCCGTCGACCAGAATGGCAGCACTGCCCGCCTCATAAGCAAAGAGTGTCAACTCGAGGACAAAAGCTAACATCCGAATTTTTTTACTGCTTGCCCCTAAACATCCTTACAAAATCTTTTAATTGTATGTGTCAAAGGCTAAGAATAAATACCGAAGAAGTTAGACAGGGGAATTTCTTGGGTCAAAAATAGGGACTGTGCATATGTACCTGGGTTGTTTGCTTCGGTCAGTGCTTGCATTCTACATTTAGAACCGCAGATTATTCTATTCCTAGCACATGTCTATATTTATAAATAACGAGATCAAGTCAATCATGATCAGTGTATATAGTCCTAGAGTTCTGGGAGAAATAGGAATCAAGTTGTTTTTAGTGAGTTATCTTTTACTATAGTTACATACACATGGCCTATTATAGGTCAGGATCCCAGTTACCTGACAGTATGGTATAAGATTAGCCGTGTTGCACACATTCGTGCTGCAATTACACATCCAGATTTAACGGCTATAAAGTGTAAAAGTCGGAAGTAGAATTGTATTCAAATTGTACTGTAGGCTATGTTGAAGACCGTGAACCAGGAAGAGAAATTGGAGTGGGAATGGTCTCCTTTACATACATGGGAAGGTGGTCAGTGCTTATGTTCAAACTGTTAAAGTTATGAGCTTGAGCAAAGATGGAGGTTGTAGCAGAATCAGTGTCGGCAGTTAGACTGATGCAGTAGGTCTTGTATGAGTTTGTGAGAGGAAGATCCGAGTGGAAACAATTGTATTTAGATGTATGGTTCTGAGTAAAACCGAGATTATAAGAGTGAGATTGCGTGTTTGCATATTTTATCAACTGTGGTTTTTGACCAGTATTTATCAATCTCCACGGGTCATAAGTTATGATCCCAGTAGATGTAGATCTATGTACATACACACATTTGGGCCAGGAATATAAAGTTAAATTCATGTGTGTTGGTATTAGATACAAGAAAACTAAAACCTAAATTTGAGACAAAATCATCTACTGGAATGCTAGTGTGAAATAAACGCTAATAAACATTAAATTTTCAGTGAAGGATGTATTGATAAAAGTGATATAGAATGGGGAATTTGATAGTCAAATTAGCCAGACTTACGAAAAGTTATTCTTAGCATTCCAAGATATATCATATTTTAACATAAACAGGGCAGATCCCATATTGCCCACAGTCTTTTATGTTCAAGGAAACCCTGATTAGAATGAAAAAGAAAAGTTTTATTTAAATAGTTGTCCTTGTGACAGGATTTGCCCGGATTGGGACTGGTCACTAGGACCACTCTATATCCAAGGTAAGGTAGTGGCAGAGCAACGCTCCTGGATAGACAAAAAGGAGCGCTAAGGGGGTATAAAAGGGGGTACGTACTAGAGGGGGTAGTACAATACAGGAGAAGAGTTGTGCCGGGAGAAAGGACGATTCTCATATGGCTAAAGGGGGGAGTTAATACTAGCGCACGCGGAAGACATAAAGGACAGGATACGCTACAGTAGTTTAGCTTTCCCAAGGAAAAATTATTCATACCATTGAGTTATTGTCTTTAATTGGATCATATTAGGGCAGTATGAATTGTTCTATCTAATTGCAGTATTCAGGTTGTTGTTAGGACACTGACAGGGATCCGAATTAGCTCTTTTGTTTTTTTTGAATCATTTAATGTGTATTCAGCTATCTAGCTACGACACATGACCGGTGCTATGTATACATGTTGGATGACTCTTTTGACGTTAGAGACACTCACACTTTGGATTTCATTCGCAAATACCACTATGAGGTATGTTCGTTTGCACAAACAGTCGACCCTCCTCTGTTAGTACCCACCAAAGGGAATTTCAAAACCTTTGGTTATCCAAGCATGCCTTCGTCATCCATGCATACCGGCGCCGCGAGAAAAGTGGTTGTGTTTTGCTGGATTTGAACCAGCGATCTACTGTCTCAAGTGGCATATGTGTCCAAGCTATCCAGACTCTACTTGGCAGACCGGCCAAGACGATGTACCACCGCACCATCCAACCATGGTGGTGTTTATAGTGTCGCCTGCACTCTCGCAACCGAAGACTAGGCGCGCACAAAGCTCAATTTGTAAAAACTCCTTTCCAAAACTCAAAATTCCATGCCCGTCGAGACTGTATCCAATCCTCTGCATCATCCTATCAACTTGTCCTGATCCCTCTCACATCCATCCCAAGGAATTGTCTTCCAGGTTTGTGCGCCACGCTTTGCTTCCTCCGTCGGGTGTAAATATCGGCGTGGGCGTGTATCTGGCGACCAGCTAAGGCCAAAGAAAGTCGAAAAGAAGTGTGGTCATTGGAATGAGGATGTACTAGGTCGTACTTGTAGACTTGATGACGCTTAGGTAGGATTCGATTTCGTTGGGAGTGAAAGATTGATATGGTGGAGTATTTTGAATCATTGCCTCGTGGGCCAACTTGTTTGGTATTGCGAAAATTGACTGAACTTGGCTCTGGGAGAATGTTTCACTCCCGGGTTCGTAGAGGACACCGCGTACAGGTGTTCAGTCTTGCCCTCCCCGAATTAGCTCATTAGTGTTGAAATTAAACTTAGAATATGCAGAACTCTTCGAGTGATTGCGGAGAAATGACGAAGTATATTCTTCAAAGGGTATCCGTAGATGTTAATTATGTTTATAGTAAAGGCTTGATCGAAACTCTTGATCTTTACTAAAGGATATGAGACTGTCTATGTACATTGATGTCTGGCAATGACATGGGCTAGAGTATAATGCCTCATTATGGGATACAACGGGACAAACTACAGATCTGATACCAGTTATGCATATTCTTGTTGCAGTCTCGAATATCAGACGTGACAAAAGATGATGATGTAACTAGTAGCGGATAGGCGACACCCGACAATCTTGATGGACACATACTGAAACCACAAGCACGGGGAGTGTCTAGGTTGGTTTCGCAACAATTAGCGAGGCGCTTGGAGTAGAGGAAGAAAGAGCAGAGGGAGAAGGAGAAGGGGAGACAACGTTTTATGTATATCAAGATACCAGTTAGTTGACATTATTCACTGACTTTGTTACAGCACCCAATTTCTATTATTTCGTGTTTTATTAACAGTTATTGACTTCAAGTACTTCTGACTTCTTTAAACCGTTTACCATCCTTCATAGTTAGAAACTCAAATAGGACAGAAATGAATTATTATTACAGTCTCTTATGGACGGAAATTGCACATTTTATTAAAATATATGTACTCTGATCAATTGCGTAACTTGATAAGAGACACTGCACAGCAAATGTAAGGCGTAGATGAAACAGGATTGAATTGATCTTCCACAGTATTGATATGAGTTGGGTCTTATAGAAGTCACCATCCACTCAACTGTGTTCCAATTATCTACTCTATTCTAAACGTGTCTCATTCCCTC